GTAACTTTCTCAACAAACTAAAGTTCTTTTTGCTTTGTTTTGTTTTATTCCCTCTTAATGTCTGAATGACTGCATAGTTCTAGCCTGAAGTCTGGTAAACGGGATCTAAAAGCCAAATATTCTGAAGCCAGAATGGGTTTTACACGCTACCGAAGGAAGTAAGGTTCAAGTCCTTTGCTAGGACAGAATACTGATTACTTAAATAATTTGTGATTATTAAATAAATATCTACTTTGGTACTAATTATAATGGATCTCCTAAAAACACTATACACATGGAACAACAAGGCAAACATTTTCAAGTGCAGGTCACCTTCTACTGAATTAAGAGGAGTAACAATATAAAAAGAGAAACCGCAACTGCAGTCTCTAGGCAGCTATATTGCCTTTCCCCTTAGCAATTAGGGATCAGGACTACCCTAATTGAATCACATTTCCTTTAAATGAGATAAATAAGACATAAGCCTTAAAGATATAATTGAACTAGAGAAGAATAGTTCCAAATTCATTGATCAATTTTCACTATAGTAATCAACAAAAGCTGATTGTATTTAGCATCAAACAAAAGAATTAGCCTGAGAATGAATATACAGTTTATCACAATTAATGTAATAAGATATCATAATTAACATTACCAATGTACTAAGTATGTTCTTACTTGATTGGTTATTGCATCGAGTTCAATAATGCAGCCAGGTCGAGCAGTAGACTGTTGACTCACAATATTAAACACCTCTCCAATAAGTTTCTGCAAATAAAAAGCACAAAAGGTTAATGGACAGTTTACTAATCTACTGCCAGTATGACGTAGCATTTTATACATGAAATGCCCCCTTTAAACATTCACTGATTGAAAATGACAATTAATACATTCCAGTAAACATTTCAGATCTCTACTCATTCTCTCAATTTTGAAATTCACGAGGCCGTAAGAAGAAAGATTCTATAGTGTTTACATAAATAGCCTATATATTCAAAGCACTGATCTAGTTCTTTTAATGTTGCAGGGGCAGTGAATTATTTAATGTGACTATTATAGCCAAAGTTTCTAACTCCCACCAAACAACCTTTCCCTGCATGGGTCTGGTAAGAAGGTGGAGGAAGATACCGACAGGATTCACCTGTGAGTAATTTAGAATAAGATTCCCTGGGGTGCCATCCTGCCGTGTATAAAATGAGCCCACTGAGAAGTAGGAGGAGGAATCTCATTACCAGCAACAGCTAAGAGTAGAGCATGTCCTCTGGACCTGAGATTCCTGCGCAGTGAACCTCCTGGGTCCAGAAAGCAGCTGTAACATCAGAAGAGCAGCAGCAGAACCAGGAACCAGAGCATGGAGCAGAGTAATGGTCTTCCCAACCCACACAGCAAGTAAAACTGAGTGCTTTTGTGCTGCAAGCTGGCTTGCAGAGTGGGGTGCCCCTAGGCACTTAATTCAGGGAGCTTCAGCTGATTACCTTTGGGTTGAGGATTGTAACAGAGTGGCATGCCCTTTGGGCATTTATTAGCAGACTTACAGAAGTTAGTAACATGTCCTAATAAACAACTCAACCCTGAGCATTTCTCACTGGTATTACAACTAATGAAGCCTTTAATCACTAATTTTATCTGTGAGTTCTATATAGTCATTGCAATGGCTATTTAGAAACTAAAAAGGTAAAATAGTGGAGGTTAAGACAACGCAAACATGTGTTCACTTTTCATAAATCTCGTAAACAAAGATAAGGATCCAGGTTAGGTTTCAGTAGACACGTAGTTGCTTGCTTTCTACTTTTTTCACTAAAGAAGACTTCCAGAGACAGGAAAATGTGTTGCTATGGACTCGGAATAATCCCATTATATTTTCATTTCAGTTTTTCTTTAAATTTTTCAAAGTTCCCTCATATTTATGTGTCAATATGTACACACACAAGTAAACTCAAAATGTAATCTCACTCTGGGCTGGTTCCAAAAAACTTAAAAGTCACTGACACAGGGTTTCTGTCCTGCTTGTTTTTATTGCCACCACCACCCACCCCCAGATCTAGGAGCTACAAAGAGATGTTAAAAAGTTCATGGGGAAAAGGAATTAAAAGACTGATGTATGGATTGTTATAAGAGCTGTAAGAGTCTCTCTCTCTCTCTCTAATGACTCTCTGGGAGACATTGCAGCTGACAAGATACATGGAATGACTTCCAGGAAAATGGAGATGGAGTGACACCTACCAGAGGAACTCCGCAGAATTCAGTCCAGGAGACTTGCTTAGAGGGATATTCAACACTGCTGGAACGCAGGAGGAGCACCATAAAGATAAGTATGCACAGACTCACCGGGTTTTGAGGGGCTGGGGGCTACTGGTTTATCTCAGTGGAAGCTAGCTGGGGCTTGAACTTAGCCCCCCAACTGTCTGCCAGAACCCGGACCATATGGAGCCCATTGGGGGACTTGGTCTCAACACAGCCATGGCTTGCTGCCTCTGCCTCCTGAGGTAGGGACTAAAGCCTTGCAGCACCACGGCCAGGGATCGGGGTTCAATTACATTGTTGCTTTTGTTTCCATCTCTTCTCTCTATCCCCCCACAGTCTTGGAGAACTGCATAGGGTTTTTTTTTCTCAACACAGCCACAGCTTGCAGCCACCACCTCAGGGCAGGGACTAAACCCTTGCAGTTCCACGGGCAGGGATCGGGACTCGGCTACATTGTTGCTTTTGTTTGCCTTAGCCACTATATCCATGCACAGTCTCAGCAGGATTATTTTTAATTTTTTATT